CAATGAGCCCCATTGTTATTTCTGATAGTGTGCAGGAGTGCAAGACAGTTGCTGGAAGAAAAACACTCTGTCAAAATTATGATTTCTTTCTCCTCTCAATACTCATCAGGACTGAGGAGGAAGAGAGGATATCTGAGTAGACAGAGATGCAAAAAGAAACAAACAGCTAGAACATGCTTCCCAAGGATACTTAGCTGGGCTCAAGGAGGAATTAATGGCAACTGCAGGGATGCCAAGCACGAGGACCAGATCCAGAGCTCCCAGCAGTGCTGTCAGCCTCTGCTCCAAACAGAACTACTCAGGCAAGTCAAAGCAATCCCTGTACTAACCTTCCTGCTAATTTTGAGACATAAATTGTTAGTGGGGCATTGTGGCAAACATGATGCTAAGGCTGCACCAACATCTTAGCAGCCTCAGGGCACAGGGCATCCCCTGCATGCTTAACCACCTCAGTTTTGACTCCTTCCAGCTAGCACTTTGTCAGCACTATTTTGTACTTCGAAAATAGCCTCCAGGTTCTCATTCTATCCATCCTTGTTTCCCTCCTTAAGGGCAGACAATTAAACCATCACTTTTTGCTCACACAAGTGCCCTCCCACATTTTGCACACCTTGTCACAATTTACCTTTCTACCCACCTCAGGTTTCTATTCAGCCCCAGTTGTTCTTAATGATAAGACCAGCTGTAAGGCCATCTCACCCACCATCCTGCCTCCAATTAGCCACCAAGACAGATGTTCAGGGAAAGGAGGGTGGAAATGAAGCAAAGAGGAACAAGGCTGAGGCAGTCTGTCACTACATACCAACTCCCACCTGCCAGCAATCAGTGGCTGAGGTACTCCCAGACCTTCAAGGCTGCATTGGAAGACCGCCCTTCTATGTATCCTCATGAACTGCCTTCTGTCTTTCACATTCCACACCAATTGCTAACAGCTTGTATCTGCCCTTCCACCACACCCCTCTTCCATCAGAGAATCCCCAAACCAGCACAGCCTTTATCCCCTTCTAAGTTCTGCCTCTTTAATACGCTGTGAACCACATCAAAATCAACATTCACTTTTCAGGTTGCCTTGAAGAACTCCTACAGCAGGTGTGCAAAGACTGTGTGTGCAGTGGCTGTTAGTTTAACAGGCTGCTAAAAAGCTGTTCATTTTATTACCATATTATCAATCCAACTGGACACCAATAAAGGTTTTTATTTGGCAGAAGTGACAACCCCGAGGCTGGCAACATTCTCATGCCCTGTCATGATGCTTCCATTTTTATTTGCTGTCTGATGTCTTGGGCATTCTCTTTCAAGGCATGAAGCCCACCATCTTGGGGATGCTTCAATGAGCTACCGCTGGTGTTTGTGTTTCCATTTGATAACACTGGCAGAAAATAACAACATGGGCAAGAGCTGGAAACAGACAAATCTGTTCTGTGGAAGACTAGGCTCTAAGGATACAGAAAATACAACAAACCATAAGCTGCTGAGCTGCCTAAATGCAGCTTTTTGGCCAGGACTATTAATAAGCTCAGACACACACCACCACTGCAATACTGGAAATAATCTGATTTACTTCCTTACCGAACAACTCAGGCCCAGATACACCTGAACCAGGGAGAAACCTGAGCACCTTCTGGGAGCCCAGAGTAACCTGAAAGATTTCGAACGCTGCCAGATCTCACAGAGCTGTTACACCACATCAATTGCCTTTTCAGTCCAGGATCCTATCAACAGAAGTGACCAACTCCACATTCATGCCCCAATGGTGGAAACAGTTAAGCACAGTGAATATCAAGCAAGTGAAAGTTAAAGCAGACTTCTCTCTGATGACTACTCTTGCTCTCTCCTCTTCATTCAAGTCTTCATTCCCAAGTACTGCCAGAGGATGAAGCTGAATGTTGTCAGATGCAGCAGTGGCAAAACTACGTGTACAGACAGCCCAAAAAATAACCAGCAAGCACAGGAATTTTCTTCCTAACCCCTACAGGAGGAGGCTGGCTTGACTTCCCAAATCCTACTTAAGGTAAATCTAAATATTTAATGCAAACCTAGGCATTACTATTTGTCTGTAAAGACTCATCACCATTTCAGAAAACCTGCAGAGCTCTTGCTTTCAGCAGTACCTTGAAGCAACAGGGTCTATAAATTCAAGACTTCCACTCCTAGTTTTAAATTGATTGACATTGAATGCTTGGGTCCAGACTGTGTTCTCTGGACACACAAAAAGAAAAGGCCTATGATTTATTTCCTCTGCGCTGCTTGTTCATTTGTACAAGTGTCTCCAAATCATCTCCTCTTCAAATTTGACCAGTCTTTCTGTTTACCAAAAGACTTTCTTTGTGTGAATCAATTGTCATTGCTTTTCTAAAGACCTCACTTCCTTACTCTCATTCAGGGTCTACCCAGAGGCAATGGTAAACAGCCTGATACAGATACTGCCAAAAAATGACATCCTGATTTGCCACTACTTAATTCCAAGCTGGTAAAACCAATTTTTATGTTGCCTAGCAATGCTTGTTTGTTTTAATAAGACACCTCTGACAGATCGCTACCGAGTGAGCAATGCAGTTCTTGGATATCTCATGGGTGGCCTGGCCTAGACTCACAAACCAAGCAGCATGTGGAATGCCAGGTCTGTATTATGGCCCAACACATCTCATGTACCGACAGCACTAACTGAAGATGAAGCTGTCAAGTGACCCAATAACTATAACACATTGCTTCCCATAAAAATAATCAGAAACTAAACTGCTGGTGAGGATTCTGTGTGTCACTTTTCACAGCATTTTAATTAAAAGGATGAAAAAGAGCAAACAAGTGAGAGTGAGCTGCGAAATCTGAGATGTGCCTTGCTGCCTACGCGCTCTCACACAGAAGGTCTGAAAAAAATCACTGGAACATCCTTCAAGTTGATGAGCTCATCTGTTGTATCCATAGGGATTGCCAATAAATATTGATACGCTTTCATTGGAATTCAGTGCTCATTTAGGATGCAGCCATTTGTATTCTCAGCATGGCACAGTGATTAACCCTTTCGATGAAGCTGTGATTCCATTTAAAGCAAACTGGCTGGATGCATACCTTATACTACAGCAACAGCACACTTTGTTGCTTGGGAAAACCAAGCACATCTTTCATCTTCATTTAGCTTTGAAGGGGTTGCATTATAGTAGCTTCCATTACATCCTCACTGAAATTAAATGCCACCAGCGGCACTACTGAAAGATGTTCTGAAGTTTACAGAGAAACGATGGAAGCTTGTAAAGTGCTGGGGGACTTCTCCAGTTTAATTGTATAGACTTTGTTCCACAAATTGCTCAAATGGAATAAATACAAATAGCATTCTCTGCTTTTTGACCTCTTTGGGTTAATGAAATGCACACTAACACCCACAGCAAGCTTAGCAATTCTGCTGCATAATCAAACAGTATCACCAGAAACCCAGTCAGAATGCAAGACTCAGTACATACATGAACACTACCTGCCTGGATTCTGTGAGGAAGTCAGAACCACTGCTGCTTTCCCTGCAACCCTTACCTCTGTCCTCTGGATGGACTTGGGAATAAAGTCAAGTGAACAACAGAAAGCAACAACAGCATTTAAAGAGAGGAATCTTGATCATTCACTGTCCTGTACATAGGTTATTTCTATTGCAGCGACACAAAGAAGAATTTGATCCTACTGGAGATTATTACTGAGAAATGAGTCCTTGTTCCAGTGGGCTATATTTCCTTATATTTTCTTAACTCTCTTCAACTGCACCATTTCTTCTACATCACAGAAAAAGCTGCTAAATGCTCTGTCTTGCCATGCCAATAAACACCTCCAGGGACATGCACAAGTTTCATTCACTAAGCATGTAACAAAGCAGGTGTGAACACAGGCCTGGGGAGGCCTCAGAGCTAACAGCACAGCACCACCTCAGCTAGCTCTTCTCAGATTCAAGGACAGTACCTGAAAACTAAGAGTTCTCCTCCTCCACAGACTGAGTTTGCCTGCTGCTGTCTGTTTCAGTCCTGATAAGGCCAAGCAATACAACCACTTTAGTGATGTTTTCCTAGTTTTACTAATGATCCAAGGTGCGGTCTTATCCTCACTGGTTTGTTTGTTTCGTTTCTGAGGCTCTGAGGCTGCAGAGCAGGAAAATATTTGTCCTATTATGTCAAGAAACAATCCTGCAGCAATCCACACAGCAGTAGGTCTGCAGAAAGTGAACTTCTCCAGTTCCTGCTTATGCACTCCACTTCTATAATGAATGTTTCCAAAATCCTCATCCTCCTTCTCACAATATGCTTGAGGGGAGTCAGTGGCAAGTAGGAATGGTCTTAAGTGCCAATTGTGTTTGCAGCTGAGAAATAAGAAGTTCTCCCACTCACCTATTGATACACGAACCTAAGCAATAAAGATGCAACTTAACCACTCAATAACTCTAATGTCACACCTCAGCTCTCTAAGGTATTCAGTCCAACTCAAACTCAGACCTCTGGCTAGACCAGTACAGTATCAGACACACGGAAGACACTGCTATTGCAATTCATCTGAGGTGCTTGTATAAATGGCACTTCAGACACACAGGATGAGTCGCTCCTCGAAAGGGACACCGATTTACATAAAGACAAGATGATATGCAGACAAGCTAGAGGGTAGCTAAGACAGTAAGGACATACAGTGAAGTCAAGATGAAATCTAGATGGTTGCATAAGGTTTTATTGCCATGGAATATGTAACAGATGATATAAAAAGGTGAAGTGCAAAGCCAGATGCCTTAGGTATTATGCATATACAGCCTCTTCTCTTTTATGTTGATATACAAGGGGGAGACCAGACGCGAAACCTATGGAAGTTTTTTTTCCTGAAAGAAGAAAGCATCTTTACTTTCCTCCTAAGGAACAACCTGTCACACAGCAGCATGGCAACGATATTCCAGTCTAACCACTGAGAAAGAAGAAACATGTCATGCTGGAAACCATGAACCCAAGGAAGCAGGAGAAGCACGGGACGCGCGCACCTACCTTAAAGAGCAGGCAGTCTCCTTGGTGCTCAGCGTAAATGGAGGTGAGTCGATACTGGTTCTCAGTGGTGATGTCGATCTGGTACCCAGTGAGAGTGTAACAGACCTTGCGAAACTCCTGGATCTTGGTCTGAAAAATCTCCTTCAGGCGCTGGTTTTTTAGTTCTGCACTTTCCACTTGCTTCTTCAGCTCTATTTAGGGGAAGAGAGAGGGTGCTGTGTTATACATCACTGGAGTAGAGGCCTTGTGCCGTATTTACAGTGCTAACCAAACTAAGTGAATTGAAAAGGTTAATTAAATTTTTAAAAAGTGAATTAGGCAGGCAGAGTAAAGAAACAGACAAGCTAGAATCCTCTCTTCCTGTCCCCAGAAGACCAAAAGATAATAAACTGGGGAATGAGGAAGAGAGACGCGTTTTAGCAGGATGGATTTTTGTTTTGCTTGGCCAGCCCTTCAACAGCATCCTACAAAATTCAAAGCTACAGCATCCATTTCCCCACATGCACACATCTCATCTTCTACACAGAGCCCAAGAGAAGAGCGCTATGTTACAGGGAGCAAGAAAGCGGAACAATGATAACAAATGTGCCTCTGTATGGTCACATGAGGAGGGATCTGGCTATAAGGGAAATCTCTTCAAACACACGCTTGATCTGACTGTAAGCACTTTGATCTCCAATTGACACGATGCTTAGGAATCCTTTCAGATTCGGGAAGGGGCTTTTCCTGTGATAAAGAGCCTGAGGAGTATCACTGTCTCTTTCCATTTGCTGCCTTACCTGGTCTAGTCCCCAGCAGAGAGGTCCTAGGAGACTGCCTGCCACTCACCCTGCATTTTATTGCTACAAAGGGAGCTGCCAGCACTGTGAATCCTTCAAGAGGATACACAACAATTACCATGAATCTTTCACCCAAGGTGCCTTCTGAGTAATTAAACCTCGATTTATCCCCCCATTAATTACAGAGATTGGCTTTACCTTAATATACGCTAGAGATCAGCTTGTGTTATCAACACTGCAGTCCAGAGTTAGAAAAAAAACCCTCTTCCTAGCAGAAAACAGACTTCTTACTCAGATATCTCCCTGTTATTCCGAGGTTTACAGCTTTGTCTGTCCTGCAATTAGAGAGACAATTGCAGCACACTTGGGCCACAGGACAGCTAGTTTGTGCTCCAGCACTTGGAAAGCAGGAATTTCACTGCAAGACGACTGCTTGCGCATGAACCATGGATTTAGGCTGGGCACATACAGCCCGTGCTGAACTATGACTGCTTCCCAAGCTTGCTAGAAAAGTTTTTGCTCAGGTATTTCCCAAACATGTTTCCATTGACCTTCCAAGTGCAGCGCAGGAGGAATGCAGGAATGGCAATGGTGAGCCCACACACCTGCCACGATTCAGCTTCCAGCAACTGCAGGAGCACTAGCACTAACAACTCCCCTCTCCTCTTCTGTACTGCTTTACTTAGGCTCTTGGGGTAGGACAAAAGGATAATTCAACATGTTAAGTTAAAGTGCCTTAAATGCCACTGAGGATGCCCTGCTCAGAAGTACTCTGGCCTTAATCCAATTTAACTTAATCCCCAGGCAAGGACAGAAACTCTTTAATGGTTAAAGAGAACTTCAGGTCCCTTTACTTCTGAGTGAGAGCATCCATGCAGGGTGAGATAATACCAGCCATCCAATTGCCTTTGGTTAATTCAGCCCCACCTTCCAGAGCTGCTCATAAAGATGTACAAGGAAAGTACTTCCTTTACCCCCAAAACTCTACCTTACTTTATCAACGGGTACAAACCAGTCTTGGGAAACATCACACTCCAGTCCATTTACTAATACACTGCTGTACAAGAACAGACCAACTGCTGAGGGATGTAAAGCATCTTTCTTGACCACCAATCTTCCCATTCCTATCTAATTTATCAGTGAGCAATTAACTCAGCCCTTCCCTGGATTGTTACAACCTTTTCCCCATCATCTCAGCTGGGTCTGGTCCCTTGATTAATTGAGTAATCAGCCTCTGAAATCAGGAGGTTAATTGGTGGCTCTGACCTCAATATTTTCACAGTCTTCATTCAGCTTTGCATTCTGAAGACGCAACTGTTAAGGACAAAATCCTATACGTGAAACTAAAATTCAGTGGCCACGCTGCAATGGTAAATAATGTTTCACCACTGATCAAAGATGGCACTGCTTTTAACATATCTGATGTCCAACACTGATATTTTTTCCTAATAAATGCAGCCCAGCCTCGGAAAAGTAAATCTGCCTTTTTGTACCATATCCTGAAGGCTGCTTTTCCTGATTTTATAACCTTGGGGGTGGATGGTACCCTAACTCAAACAGCTTACATTATTCACAGACAGTCAGCACCTCTCCCACTGTTTTGTTTCCAGTTTTGGTACTTCTAATGGCCATCAGAAGCACCCTCACCACCTGCTGGGTTCAGCCTTATCACCCACCCCAGGGTGAAAAAGGATGTGTTCTCAGATCAGTCCTTCCTGCAAGAAGCCCTGAGCTTTCCAATTGAGCTGCAGGGCTCACCACCTCCACTCCCTGCAGCATGCCCTGGCATCCCCACATCCTCCTGGCTCCCATTCCAGCTCCTGCGGCAGTTCTGGTGCCTCACCGCATCAGCTGTCCTGGCTGGAGGAATTCATCTGCATGAAGAAATGCTATCTTCCTGCTAGAGACACCTCGTGTCAGCCACTGGCACAAGGCACCAGGCTCCGTAATTGCTAATGCAGATGTAGCAGAACGTGCCAGCACCAGTCAGGGACAGGAGGAAGCCCTGTCATCTGCCCAGTGGCTCCATCAGCAATTCCCAGCAGTGTTTCCTTAGCCAAGCAGCTTAGGAATGGACAGAAGTAAAGAAGTGGGCACAGGGAGATGGTAGGAATGCTTTGATTTGTAGCTGCCCCTGGTGAAAGGCCTACTGAGCCACAATGGTGAAAAGATGGCTCTTCCTTTATGCCCAGCTAAACTTGAAGTCATCAACAGCTCAGCTATAGCAACTCATGCAACATTTTTTTCTCCTAGGGTAATATATCAGCAAGGGGCTACTTCCAACTACTTCCAAACAAACTGAGGGCAGCCCTCAGGACTGAGAATAACACCCTGCTTCCCCTTTTTGGACATTGCTGACACCACCACAAGGCTGGGCTGCAAGGACTCACAGAACAGCAATCCGACAGGAAGGCAGCCTGAGCCATGAGACGCGTGGGACAGGATCCCACTGCTGATACAAAGCAACACAAGTCCATTTGGGGCACACCCAGGTCATTTTCAAGGCTTCCCACTGTGCTCCCACAGGAGACAGCATTCCTGCAGGCTCTGCATCACAGCCACCAGCCCCAGGCAAACTTTTCAGACACTTTGGGGATGTTGGAGATGGCACAGGCTTCCCACAGCCTCTCTGCTGAGGCTCTATGCAGGGACTGCCCCTGCACTGCAGATTCCCAGCAGCCAGAGCTGCACAACTGACTGACCTGAGGACACAAACTCTCTAACATCTCCCCTGCCATTAAGTTACGTACAGCTCACTGTTTGCTCCGTTCATGAATTCAGAGATGTGATTGGGCTCATTCTTAAGCCTTACCTAATACCAATAATTCCAGCCAAAGTTCTAAGCACAGTCAGGAAAAATTGTTTTAAAAGTCATAATTCGCACAGAGTGCAACTCAGCTTATTTCAGAGAAATGCTTCATGCACAGCTGTAAAGGTGACTGAGCAGAGGAAGATCCTTCCAGGACAGGTCAAGGTGCAGTAACAGCAATTTCTTATGATAACATTACTTTCCACCCACTTCATCTCCCACAAACAGAAAACTGAACATATCAATCCTTTAAGATCTTTCACAACATTTGGAGAATTAGGTTTAATTACACCTTTAAAAGACAGTGTTTGAAAACTCCAATGCCTGTGTTTAGAGCATTCATTGGAGTTCTCAGGTTTCACATCGCTATGCTCACAAGGAACGGGTGAGAGGTGCAGGTGTGCTCTGCAGAAACCAGGGATGGGCAAAGTTGCACCATAAATATCCCAAAGCATCCATCCCAAAGGCATCTGAAGCAAAGGAGGACTCAGGAAATACACTAAGGTTTGCCAGGTTATGCTTTGGACAGGGATAGTGCCTTGTACTCTGCCTGGTGTTAAAGAGGAGAACAAAGAGAAAGGGAAAATATCTACAAGTTGTTCTGCCTGGTCTCCTTGGCATTCAGGCCACACACCCGTATTAAATGCTGCCCATCATAAAGAGTTTGACAGCCAAGAAAATTCTCACTGAAAAAATCATTAATCTGTTACAAAATTAATATTGCCAAATGATTAGCTTCCTCCTAATGATGCTACTTCTTGAAACCACCTTGTATTTTCACACACTTGTATCAACTTTAATGAATAATTCAAACTATTTTGGATAAATAAATAAAATATGAGTTGGGCTTGTTTCGGTCTCTCGGATTGGAAATGTCACTGCTTTTTATTCCGTTGCTCTTACACTCCCTTACATCTGACAATGCTCACAACTGCCTGGAAATACCACAGCCTTGGCTCCTGCTCTCAGTTCAGCTGGGTCAATCAATAGCAACAGCAGTCTCTACACCAAAGGAAACCAAATCTACACTTAACCTTTTCCCTGAGGAAAGAGGTAAAACACTGCGGCTCTCAGCACACCACAAGTGCCATGGAATTAGATGTACCACTCGACTTTGTCAGGAAAACATAAATTGGTTCTGCAAGTCCTCCAAGACACCCCAAGCCATGTGGCTGCATTAATTCGCTTGTGATCCCAGCTAATATTTTTCAGTCCTAGAAAAGCCCATTTGGGGCCTGTTACAGCTCACCTTCCCTTAGTAAGGCATCTGAGGTTCAGCCACTCGCTCACAACGTATGGGATAAAATGTTCTGCACCACACTGATTCCTATCCATCCTGTCCCAACCAGAGTGCCTCAGACAGACAGCACCCAGCACTGCAATGCGGCCCATCCATCACCAACCCCACTGCACCCCTCCAGCTCCTTCATTATTCTATGGCAGGTCTCTGCTTCCCACCCACCTGGCTGCAGCTCAAGCAGTGCCCTTCTGCACGTGAAACCCATTGAGCCATTCCCCACTCCAGCCCTGAGCTGAAACGTCCTCCAGCTTTACTTTATGACAAACATCACCTGAAAAGAGTCCTGTGATGCTCCGTGAAGGA